ACTTTAATACGAGTAAAACCTGCGTATTTATTTATCATTACCTGTAAATTTTGACATTTTATATTAAAAAATTAAAAATAAAAACAACGCTTTTTGACAATGAATTTTTTCTTTTATGGTAAATTATTTTAATAATTTACTTACAAAATATTGTATTCACATTCCCTCGTAAATATTATGACGAAAAAGATACACAACAGGATTTATAGGAATAACAAAGAAAAATAAGAAAATTATTCATTCTCTTTTAAAAGCGATAGGGAGGCAGGGAAGAAGAAGCTTCATTATAACATTGTTAAACCAATGAAAATTTAAATAAAGAAAAATCTTCTTACCTTTAGCTTTTAAGAAACAATAAAAAAATATTTTTCTTCCCCTTTTTAGCACTTTTCCAAAAAAAATTTTGAAAAAAGTGCTTATTAGTTTCACTCTGTCCGTCCGTCCGTCCGTCTGTCCGTGTGTCTGTTTACAAAACTTCTACATTCTTAAAGATAGAAAGCTGAAATTTAATACGTACATAGATCTTTACTAGAAACTTATTTTCGTACAACAAAATTTTTAGCTATCTCCCCCCCTCTAGAAGTTATACCCCCCCAAAACCCTAGAAATGGCCTTTTTTAAATATTTGTTGCAATGAAACTATAAGCATTTTTGAAATTTTGCAAACGCAGAAAGGTAGTGGCTTGCTTCCCCTTGCGCGGTATGCTATAGTTAAACTTTAGAAAAACAAAATGGCCGTTCAAATTTACCGTTATCTAAAGTCCTTTTTTTCCAAATTTTTGATGTCGTTTTTCTTCTAGACCCCAGACTGTAGCTGCTTGAAATTTTAGGAGCTTTTAGATATTAACAAATAGTTCATTTTGTTTGAAGAAAATTTTTTTCCATCTCCACCCCCTCTCAAGTTATCACCTCTTGAAATTCGTAAAATTTGAATTTTTGACACCTTATATTTCCGAAACCGCAAGCTTTTCCAAATTTTTATAAACGCAAAATGCTAACGGTAAATTCCATGAAATTAAAAAATATAATTATTTTTCTTAACTCACACAATTAACCCTTAAAATCGAGCATTGTGTTAACCCCTTTTTATATTAATTTTTGCTTTATTTCAAAGACTGCATATATCCGTCATCCTAAATGTAGGCAATCCTAGAAATAGTTTTGTATATGAATGAAAATAATTTTAATAGTGTGATAGGTATACATAGACTGTATTTAAAAGCAGAATTTTCTCTTGTTGAAGGGAAAAGTGCTACAATACAAACCATAGGTTTGACCCAACTTTATTTCTTTGTGGTTTTATTTGTCAGGATATCATTTATCAAAGGAAAATTAAATTTAAAAAAGGATGAAAATCTTACAAAAGGAAAAGAAAAATAAAAAGATATGCGAAAAATGTACGGGTATAATTTTCGTTCTTAACAATGTAAACTTGATTTTTAGTAAATTTTTAGGATAACTTTAAAAAGTTATTATTGTTAAGCAACTCAAACAAATTGGCCATACTTTTAGTATACTGCAACATAACAAATTTTAGTGAATTTTAATTATTTTGTCAGGTTAAATAAATTGAAATTAGATTGTTAATTATTTAAGTACTTAATTATATTTAATTGGAAGAATTAAAACTCAGATGAAACCAATGATCTCTAAAGTAGCAGATTTCCAAAGTTTTACGTTAAATTTGATACTTTCTTGAAACTAAGCTTTATATCTTATAACCAAATAAAGGGCTGAATAGTAAAATTTAAATTTCAAAAAATCGGTGGATAAAATCCATCTGAAAGATGCAATTTTTAACGAAGACTACCTTTCTTCTCTTCCAAATGGAAGGGTACAGATTACAAAAAAATTATTTATTAAAAATTTTTTTTAGGTATTTTTAGATGCAAATGACTTAAAACATAAAAGGACGGTGATAACTACTGACTGGTCTCAAATAATTGCTAACACACATTCTCCTTTGAGAATGTGTTTCTCATTCTCACGGTTTTGACTAGATATTTTCAAGCAAGAAATGAATCTTTTTGATAGGCTGCTGTTAAACATAAACAAACTGTCATATCTTATGCCCTTTAAAAAATTCTAATTTATTATTGCAAAATTTTTAATATTTATATAATTTTTTACATGTTGACCGCAGTTAAAAAAAGAACTTAAGTGCTGTTTTATTTAGTTATATAAAACTATTGAACTATAATTAATGTAGAGCATTTAAGCTTCGTGTGCTTTATGATAAATAACCAAGATTTAGAATACATTTGAAAAGTTGACGGAATAGTATGACGGAAAAAATTATTAAAATATTTCATTTAAATAAATGACCAGAACATGATATGAAATTTTGTGGGAAAACACAAAATTCGTGGGTTGCATAAATTCTATTAAAATTTTTAATTCTGTTACAAAATAATTTCATAAATCCATTTAACTACATTTTGCTATAGGGGAATCCATTAGAAAACAATAAAAATGAATATTAGAATATTCGAAATTCTTCTCCTTTTATACATTCATGTATACTTTTTTTTCCATAACCGTGAAGAAAGATAAAATTTGTTCTCATATTACCGGAAATAAACTTATTCATGATTGTACCCTTACCTTCTTTTTATCTTTTAAATGCTATATACTTAATCCGGGAGATTCCTTTTCTTGTGGCAATGAATATTTAAATTTTATAACGTTCTTCTTATGTTGTTCTTATTATATCATAAGACAATTTTGCGGAAAAACAAAGTTGTCTTATGACGACGCTGTATTCGTGGAAATCATAATTTTAGGTGAAAAACAAAAACGCAAATGAAAAATGGAAAATAATTTAAAAAACGAAATATTTTTTTTTGGAAATTACTTCTCATATTTAAATTTATTTTGTGTGAAAATTAAAAACTAAAAAACGAGGCTTAAAGAGACTCGGATTCTTGTTTATTAGAATTTTTGTCGTTAATGAAGTATTTTTGTTTTTAAAACAAGGTTTTAAAATATTTTTATATTTTGTTTCTTATAAAATTATGCAAGAAATTTGATATAATGGTCACTAAAATTCATCAAACTAAGATATACCAAATCAACAAAAACATTGTTAGCTATGTAAAAAGGAAAAACTAAAAAATCTTTGTAACTCTGATGAGCTACTAATGCCATATATATGTATATATATATATATATATATATATATATATATATATATATATCCATGTTATCAGGGCACCAAGCTCAGAGAGCAAATCAAAATTAAATTCCAAATTTATATGCAGCTCTACATATTTTCTACTGATTCTACATATTTTTTTTAATTCCAAAATTTGAATTTAAAAAAATTTGATTGGCAAATTTCATCTGAAAAATGCATAAAAAACAAAAATTGAAAATTTTAGCGCAGGCAACCTTTTTTGTCTTCCAAATGGAAGGATGCTGAATTACAGAGTAAAGTTTTTGAATAAGAAATTGAAAAAAAGGCGAAAGAATAATTATCATAATCCAGATTCTAGATGGCTTTTAAAACTATACTAAATAAAATGAAAATCATAAAGATTCCTCAAAAATTTCACAAAAAAAATTAAAAAAAATATTTCAATCGGCTTACTTCGAAAATATAAAATATTAAGAATTATTTTTGTAATTTTCGATTCTAAATTTCGGAAAATAATTTCAGCCTACAGCTCATATTGCCTCATATATGGCATTATAAGCTACAATAATTATAATAATTCAAGTAATTTAGATGGAAGCATGGAATTTCAACTTTGTTTATTTTTCAAAGGCACAAATGCAATATACAAAGTGTACTCAACAAAGTATTGGTTTTACAATCGAATTGAATTGATCTAACAAAGTATAACTCAAAACTTATGACCAACACCAGTATCAAATAATATTAACAAATTTTTTCATTTCGGTTTGCTGTAAATTTAAAATGTCTTTAAAGTTAAAAAGGTAAAACTTTATGAAATAAGATTCTTGAAAAGACCATAAAACAATTTTAAACTTATTGAACTTGCATACCCAAAAACTATTTTCACAATGCGATATTGTGCGTGAAAATAAGAAAATATAAATATTTTTAGAATTTTTTATGATAGTGACAATAAAAATAAATTGCCCCGAATCTGTTGGAACAAAATTAAAATTATTTTTATTTTTTTATTGTTATCTTTTTCTATTTTCAATTATTTTCTGGATTTAATTTTTCATTTTACTTTCCTATATATAGAAAAACAGGTGATATTCATTTGTCTTACTTCGGAAAACGATTGCCTAATGGATTTTCAGGTATAGAAAAGTAAATAAAAAATTGATTTTTGTTTTTGAATCATTGTAAAAAAGCAAAAAAGAAAAATTTAAAGATATTTAAATAAGATCTATTAAATGTAAATTGATATAAAAGCTAGATCAAATATCTTAGTTCAAACTGAATACGTAATTAGAAATGTAAAAAATTGTAAAAAACTCTTGCATTATATGTGTTCCTAAAGTTTTGTATACCAAGGAGGTTTAGAGAAATTTTAAGAATTATAAATTTTGAACTTAATTTTTCACAAACGACGTTTCTAATTTCTTCTGCGTTTACTAGGTAACAAAAATTATCCAAAACTTGGGAAACCACTTGCTATTGGCAAATTTCAATTGTTAATTAAATTTGTTCTTAGATATTTATATTTCTGGAACACAATTTAGAAGAAATTTATATTTTCAATATGTTAGTGACAAAATTCTAAATCGCATGACAAATCTCATGTAAAACTCATAATTAGAAGGGATAATTTTACTTGTAAAAAATTTAAAAGCTATCAACATTGAAACATTATGACAAAATATAAGAAATTTTCAAAAAACTAAAAATTTGCCCCCAGGTTATTACGCATTATTATGGAGATTATGGATCACTATTGCTTCTTCATTGGTAAATAATATTTATTGAGTCAAACTTTTAATCGTATATGTAAAGTAGACCTTGAAAAAAATAATTTCACGTTTTTGTGGTAAATATTACTTACCTTGGTTTCCTTTTTATCTATCACAAATTGTAATTCTGATTCAATATTATTTAATATAATTGATATATTTTGTTCCCGTTCATCATCACCCTCTAGAATTGGAAAAAAATAAATAAATCAAAAATAAATTTTAAACTATAAATAGAATATAAATAATTAATAAAAAAAATTGTAGCCATATTATAGTACGAAACATTTTCAAGAACAAAAACTCAGATTTAATTAATTTAAATATATAAGTGACAATTGAAAAAACCCTTGCAATGACCAAGGTCGAAATTCAAAATTGATTCAGGTAAAAAGGCGTGAAGTTCCGGAAATTAAATTTTGTCAATAAAAATTAATTAAAATGAACTTTTAAAAACTAAACTAAATGAAAATAAATTAAACAAACCAATAATTGCTAATTTAACATTAATTTAAATAAGTTAAATTGAACTTAATTTTAATTTTATGGTAGAACGGAAAGAAACATTAAAAATTACAAATAATTAAACAGTAAAAAAATAAATTTTTTTTTATATTTTTACTGTACATTTTTGGGGAATATTACTAGTTAATAAGAATAGACTTTCTGAAAAATTTTTAAATATTTTTCAGAAAATGTACAATGCAGTCGATTATGTGCTGTATACATTCAATTTCATACTTTTTTTTGCAAATAATTGTATAGATAAAATGTAACTTTCTTAAATTTTTTCAATTTCTAAATTGAAGTTATGCGAGCGCTGTTAACGTATATTGGTAACCAAATAATAATGTAATGCATACGTAAAATGAAAATAAACTGAATCAAAATTAAATGTAAATTCTAAATTTTCTTTAGTCATTCGCACCTTTCATAGTTTCGTTCCTCCATTCTGCAGATCACAAAAAAACGAATTTAAAAATTCCGAAAATTTCCGAAATCCATTAACCGGTGAAATGGAAATCATAAATACGTACTCGTAATCTACCTTTGTCCATCATAGAAAATAAGTTAATTACTAATTTATTTTTTAAGGAAAATAAACCTCTCTCAAATATTAAACAGAATTTTATAACTGTTTTTAAAAATTTATAAATTCTGTTTTTACATTAAAGTAGTGTAAATATAATTAAAATGTTTAAATACACACATTTATGAATTTTTCATATTTTTGGAATTTTAATAATTGAATCATATAGTATAGTTAGATAACATTCATATATAAAATTATTAAAAACCACTTGGCATTATTTAGTAAATAAATCATATGTATGTATGTTATTAACTTTTATAAAACATAAGATTATGGCAAACAATTTAATTCTAAAATTGTATAGCACATAATAAAAACACAATGACACGCTATACGTTTTTCTGTTTTCAATAATGCCGTAAATTAAGAGATAATTTATTACAGATGCTTATATTTTATAACATTGTTATGTTATGTTATAAAATTAAAATGAACGCGCACGAATATAAGTATAAGCATGTGATATATGATAGTTATTAATAGTAAAATATATATACATATGTATATGTATGCGTGTAGATACATGTATAAAAATTTATATTAAGTTTGCGATATTTTCTCTTTCGGTAGTCAGCCTATCTATTCTCGTAATAAATTAATTTGACAAATAATCAACACAGTACCCCCCACCTACTAAATATATTTTTTATACCATAATCATTTTTGTATATAGAGGGTGTTCCACCGATCAATTCAAAACAATTTAAATTCATAAAGTGATGGTATCTACTGTTAAAGAAGTAAAAAACAACATCAAACTTAAAAACGTGTGGCAAAATGCAATTGCTCACAAAATAAAGCATAATTATGCAGAATCTCGTATGAAGTGCATAAAATATTTGTATAAAATTGTTATATAATTTTTAAAAATATCTCATTAACGAGTTGAAACTATTAACGCCAATCGAATAAACTGCAACAAAAACTGGATAATTTTGTATCCTATTGAAAAAATATTTGTAAATTTTTAAGTTGTAAATTATAACTCCTACAATGATTTATTAAAAATATTCAAATACAAGAAGTGCAAAATTTGACTTATAAAATACAAAATTATTCAATCTATTTTAACTTTTGTATTTGCCTTATTAATTGCATTATTTAGAATTTGCCTTATTTAGAAATTTGTGGCATCTTATGGTCTTTTATGTATGTATATATATAAATGTTTATATACTAAACTTTAAACATTCATTTGAATTTTATCAAATAAAAAATATCAATTTAATCTTTTAGCACTTTTCCAAAAAAATTAAAAAAAAAGTTCTTATTAGTTCGTCATCCGTCCGCCCGTGGATATGCTTAAAAAGCTTCTACACCCTTGAAGATAGAAAACTGAAATTTTATGCGTACATAAATCTTTACTAGAAACTTATTTCCCTAGATGAAAATTCCCCCCCCTCAAAATGTTATACCCCCACCCTGAACCCGTAAAATTACATTTTTTAACTATTTATTGCAAAGAAGCCATAAGCATTTTTCAAATTTTGCAAACACAGAAAAGCAGTGGCTTGCTTTTTCTACCGCGACATTTGAACTTTGATAAAACAAAAAGGCCGTTAAAATTTAGTGTTATCTAAAATCCGTTTTTTCAAATTTTCGGTGTCGTTTTTTTCTAGACCTTTAATAGCTTTTAGACACTAATAAATAATTTATTTTGCTAGAAGAATATTTTTTTCCACCTCCACCCGTATCAAGTTAAAGCCCCTCAAATTTGTAAGCCTTTTCAAATTTCTATGAATGCAGAAAACTGACGGTAAATTCCGTGCCAATAAAAAATATAAATATTTTTCTTAACTCACGCAACTAACCCTTAAAATCGAGTATTATGTTAACATTTCTTTAATTTCTTTTTTGCTTTATTTCAAAGACTGCATAAATTTTTCATCCCAAATGTAAGCAATCCTTAAAATAGTTTCGTATATGAGTGAATGTAATTCTCCTAGTGTAGTAGCTATACATAGATTGTTTTCAAAAGCAGTGTTTTCGTTTATTGAATGGAAAAGTGTTTCAATACAAACCATTGGTTTGACCCAACTTTATTATTATAAATGATCAATTGAAAATTAAGTGCTATAAAACAAAAAAATTTTTATTGTTATTATTTTTACCTGGTCCATCGTAGGCGTTAATACAATCTGAAGTTTTAAATTGTGAAACCAAAGCTGCTTTTCCAACCCCTGGTCCACCCAGCATATGGACACGAAAGCATTCAACACTATGATTTGCGTTTATATTTTGATCAATTATTTGTTGTTGCTGTTGTGGTGGTCCATGATAATGCATTGGACTCGTTGGTGCTAAACTATTACTACGTGAACGTCTTCGACGGAAAGAATCACCTCTATTAATCACACCTATTAACATAAAATTTGAAAAAATAATAATTATAATGATTTAAATAAATATGTACATAATATTAATTGAAAGAATTCTAAATAAGGAAAAAATTTAACATTTATAAAATAAAATAAATACATATGTATGCATTTATAGATAGGTGACTACAGACTTTATTCATCCGTTAATAGATCACTTGGAACGTGACATTTAAACACGTTTTCCCCATTTTGAGATTGTTTAGATCTTTAAATTTTTTTTAATGTTAAACATAATCAAATGATTGTTTACAACTTTCTTTTATTTTTAGTTAACAAAAATAAATTTTGCGCAATTTGCCAAATATAAGCAGAACTGCAAAAGATACTTAAATCTAATTATATACACATAATACATATGTAGCTAAGCATTCTGTTTTTGGAAATGATGTTATTATGAAATCAAAAATTTAATACTAATTTGGCTAAGTTGAAAATTCGATACGCAGGAATAAATATCCAATTCAAGTGTGCAATAGCCGCTCATAAAAATTGCTATAAATAAAATTAGTATATGTAGTAATACAAATACGTGGCGTTAATTGTTTCTGGTGATATTGTTACATTTGGCACTATATGATCTATACCTAATAAAGTTTTATTTATTTATTTTGTTTTATTCAATTATTTCTCTAAAAAAATAAAATAAAGTACGATAGTGCTTTGATCGACAGAAATTTGAAGATTCATTGAACATTATAATATTATTAAATCTTATTAAATCTGAACTGTATATAAATTGGACGCAATGATGTGAACAATGCTCTTAAGCAAAATTTCTTAAGCATAGCTATCGAATTAGCAAAAGGAGTCTCTTCATCTATTTCAAAATATCCATTGCATTAATAAAATATAATAAAATTTTGATTTAACTAAATTCATTTCAAATCTATATACTCTATGTGCGAGTGTGCATCTTTTATAAGTATGTACTTAAACATTTGTTTGACATTGTCATTTTTTTGTGAATAAAAACTAAAATTAAATTTCTGACATAATTACATCGCTATACATACATATGTATATGTATACATAAATAAGAAAAATAAAAGAAAAATAAAACCAAAAACCTTGGTGAAAAGTAAAAATAAAAATCAAAATAAAAAGTTCTTACGACAACATTTTATTGAGATTTTTTAGAGAGAAAAGTTCTTTAAAAATTTTGACTTGACACAAAACATCAACTTGTAGATAATCTTCAATTTCACTTTAAGTATTCGTGCGTCTTTTAACATTAATTATGGCCCTGTGCCAAAATATATCGTCATACAGACAAAAGTAAAACAATAACACACTCTCTCTTATATATGTACATACATATACAATAAAACCTAAATAAATCGTAAACATATATTACACTTACATATATACTAATACAAATATTATATATATTACACTTATAAGGTGTATACATACAAAAATACGTAACATTATGCACATTCACACATTCATACATACATATATTATGAAAAAAAGTTAAAATTTATTTGAAATTTTTATTTGTATACTTACATATACATACAAAAAACCTAAAAATAACCCAAATAAATAAACAAAAATGCGAAGAAGAAAATTTATAATGTTATCTTCAAGTACCGGGGCGATTTTTAGCCGTTTGGTTTCTAAATTAAAAGGAAAACTTTAGAAAAATTGTTTCCATTCGAATCAACATCGGTTTATTCGAAAATTTTAATTGCGGTCAAAATTTTGAGAACAATGCGGCTAAAATATCATCAATTACATTTTTAATGATTAAAAAAAGCATGTGACTTAAAGTAACCTGGAGTAATCCAACAAGGCTTATGAGAAAAGGATCATCTTTTGGGCTAATTGAAAGCTCTAAAACATGAAATTGATTTATGAATTTTCTATTTTAACGCGTTCGAAACTAATATTTTATTTATTGATAATTTCGAAAACGTAGTTCGGACATGAATCTTTTCACGGAGAAAAGGCTAATCAAACTGATCCATTTTGGAATAATCAACGTACCAAAAAAATTAAAAGTGTCAAAAATAAAAATTACCCAATATGTTTTATATAATACGAGTAAAAGTTTTTACTCGTATGTAAGTTTTTACATTCATATACGCTTTTGAAAAAATGAGAAGAGAAAATACAAAGTAAAAATTTACATTGAAAACTTTAAACAAAACGCAGGATATAACAATAAAACGAATTTTTGTTTTTAAATTTTTAATATGCTATTAAATTTTTAATATATAAATATCGTAACTTCAATAATGCGTTAAAAAAGTTTAAGTACGGTATTAATACGATTGTACTACCATCTCAAAGCTTTCAATACCTTTACATTGTAAAAAAATCTGATGTGCTCAGCATATAACCGACCGCAATGTGTATTGTCTAGTTATAAGTGAAAGTGTTACAGAATAATATAAAAATGCCTGTTAAATACTTCTTTCCAATTTTTAGGGTTTTAGTAAGCTTAACGTTAACATACCTCGAAAAATGTAAATTTGGCTCTTAGTAGAGTTTCGCTTTGTGCTACCCGAATTCCCTGAAATGCTTGCCAGTTAGTTTCGGTAACAACCAGAACTCAAATATCAAATTTCAAGAAATTCTACTAATTCGTTCCGTAGATATATGTAGTAAAAAATGAAAAATCACAAAATTTATATGTTCACGGTTTTAATACGTAGAATTTAAATATTGAATTTCAATGAAATCGGTTGATTATTCCTCTTTATATACCTAAAAATGTAAAAATGTAGATTTGGCCCGTAGTAAACGTCGAGTTGCTGACACCTGATTTCTTCCAAAAGTTAGGAGGTTTCGCAGACAACCGGGCGAAGCTTATATATGAAATCTGTTGAATATTTTCTTCATAATGATCAAAAATGTAAAACAGGCCCGCTAAAAAGTGTAGTTATCGAGGACTGCCCTATCCCAAAAGTGATCAATTGGTGCCATCGAAATAAACTTACATATAAAATTTCATCAAAATGTGTTCAGCCGAACTTGAGATACACGCGTGCACACACAGACCGACAGACCGACAGACTGACAGGCCGACAGGTTGCTAAAAATAGTTTATTTACACTTACCTTCCATACCATATTGAAAACTCCATATGCAAAATTTGTTGCCATCACATCACCTACCTATTGTATACACAATGCGGTCGGTAAAAAACTGTTAAAGCTTTTGATACATTTTGGAAAACAATTTTTACAATATAAATACATACTTTGACGTTTGTTTGAAAATTTCGATTCCAAGTTTCGTAAAAATGTTAATTTTTGCCAAACGTTATCACATAATTTAGAACATTGCATTTTTATGTAGGAAAAAAACTTAATAACTAGCACATTATTGCTGAAAGTATATGCCATTATTGTATAAGAAAAGCGTGCTCGATTTTTTCGACTTTTATTTTATGTATTCACTACGTATAGAACGCATTTATTAAAAGTGTACAATGTCAGGAGGTCTTACTAAACTTTTTGGAACGTGATATTTTGTAAAGTTTACGTTGTAAGCGCATTATTGAGGTCACGGTATGTATTACTTGTACCTCCATTTCACCAACGGTATGATATGCAATAAGGGCGTTTGGTGTAATCGGACAAAGATTTACATCTACATTTTTTGACGGAACACATTTCTTCATTTTGACAGAACGGAAGGAGCTTGTATACGAAATTAATGGTATTATATAATTAACATAGTAAATTCTCCTTACTCTCGTTTTATCGTGACGATGATCGTTTTATAACTGAGAGGATATATCGACATTTTAAAATTTTATGTTTCAATGCTGCTAAAACGCTTTAAAGGTGAAAATATGAATAAGTTTTGAAAACAACGTATCAAGCTCATCAGAATATTAAAAAATCATTCAGAATCAAAATATTTATGTATAAATTATACAATATTGTAAAAGTTTAAAAAAACCCTTCTGATATGTCCGTAGAAACCTGATCGCATTTAATAAATTTGAATGTAATGAAATTTAAAGGAAAGTAGCGAAATTAAAAAGAAAAGTTTAAATTATTGCTTTCACTATATTTTGAAAAATCGTTTTCATTAACCATATCTTCTTATTCTTTTCCCTCCTTAATCTTTCCCCCAACGAAATTTTGGTCACTCGAAGTGGGCAATGAGTTATATAATTGGTGAAATTTGTGGGAGGGATATAATACTAAAGGCCTATTGATACAAAAATGGGTGTAACTTATGATCTCACGTTTTGTTTGCGATTATCTCAAATTCGAGCCAATAAATTTGTTTCCGCATTTTGGCGTTTAAATTTTAAGATATAGAATGTAATTACAATAAAATATTTTAATGGAATTATAAATATACATATATATAAATTTATAGACGAATGTATATATGAACATTAAGTGCTTTTTACAAATTGAAACAAATTATGTAGTATAGAAGAGTTCTGTTAACATCAAATTTTATTGTTTCCATATGAAAAGAACAATTATTAACCGTTTAATTTAAAAGTTTAAATTAATGGTTCATAAAATTTCAAAATTTCAAATTGGTTCTAATATATTTAATTCTACAAATCGAAAATAATTCAGAAAATTGTTTTAAAGGGAAGCAACTGAAAAATATAAAATTTTTATTCCATTTTTATTTTCTGCTTGAACAAAAAATAATTTCAGAAAGAATAATTATTTATTAAATAAAATCGATATGAGAGAGAGCATCCATACATAAAACAGCTGCTGAATCATGAAATAAAATTAACGCACTTGAAACAACCTTCAAAGTCATCAAATTTTAATTTAGAAATTTTAATTGTGTTTATATGAATTTGTTTTGAGATTATATTTCTTGGTATATGATTAAAAAGAATAATATAAATATAACATTTTAAGTTGGAAACTTGAACAAATTTTTAAAATTGTATAAATAAGTGCAAGGTTAAAGATTGTATAAATTACAACGCAAAAATTAAATAATTAATTATAAATTTTTTGATTAAATTTCTCATTCTT